AAGAGTGAACTTCCTGGGTGCTTGGCCGCTCCGAAGCCTCGGTAAGTGGTGACGAGGGAACGTGGGGCGTCAAGGGGGGCAGGTCATGACGGATCGAATCCAGTCTAGGGGAGAGGCATTTCCAGGGGGTACAATCCCACGTGCCGGGGGCTCCCCTGCCTCCAGGAGGAGATGCAATGGGCAGGTTGCCGTTCCTCCCTGCACTCACAGAGACACCCCTGAGCGCCCTAGGCAAGGGCAGGGGAGAGCAGCAGAAACCTCCTGGACCATCTCTGCCTGCTACATTCTCCAAGTGGCTCGTTTCTGATTAGTTGGCACCAGTCCTAGTTGGCACCTCCTGTCCAGGGCGTTAGCCCATTCGCTGTCCCTGTGAGGTCGCCAGTGTGAGCTGCTGCCCTTCATCCTTCCCCTGGAAGCTGCCAGCTGTGCCCAGAGGCCGGCGCCCCCTCCGCCCGCCTCTCCTCTTGTACAAGGCCAAGGCAGAAGTTCCCCTTGAAGGAGCAGGAGCATCATTAAGCCAAGTGGCATTTTGCAAGCTCGCTCCCATGAGAAGCCGGATGCAGGGTTGCACAAGAGGCCTCTCATGCAAACTGGCCGCGGGCTGGTGCTAGACCATGCCCACTGGTGCTATTTCACAGTCGTAACTGGGAAGTCCATCGAAAGCCAGCAGAAGCCCTGATCGCTTGATGCTTGATCCCAGCTGGGGAGAGCAGGGGGGCGATTCTCACTGCAGGGGCACGGGTTTGAACCAGGATTAGCACCCCTAAATGCCCTAGGGTAACAGGGGCAGCCCCATGGCCTGCCTGTGACCGTGCAGAGGCAGGGGGAATCTGCGGATCTCGAGGTAGCCTGGGGACTCGGTTGGCCCTGGGCCCCTCCGGAGGAACAGCAGGGGCTGCATTCAGACAGGACCTCTCCAGCCCCCTGCCTTGCTGCAAGGGAGAGACCCACAAAGCATCCCTGTCTGCGCTGGCTTGCGCAGTGCCCTTTGTGGTGATCACCGGGTTCGGTGAATACAGGCCTGCAACCAAGGAGGAGAGCTGAACAGCACCCTTTAGTTGGGCAGCAGTCAGTGACCTCTGCACACCCTTAGCCTCTGTCAACTTACTGCCTAGCTGCTCCCACGTCCTTAGGGCGCATCTCTAAACGATAACCTCTGCCACGACACTCTTCACCTGCTGCATCCTCAAATTAGAGCAGCATAGAAACCAGCTAGAAAGGTGTTACACGTGTTTAAATGCTAACTTTGTACCTGATTGGCCCTCTATAGCCGGAGAGTCATTTTTATGGAGTGATCGTTGCTTTGCACACGTGGGCGGTCTACACTTATTGCACGATTACCCCGTTAATTGTGTGCTAATTACGTTGCACTCGTGGCCGGTCTCACTTTGCATGCTTGGCCAGTCTAAATTTATTGCACGATTAAGCAGTTAATTGTATAATATATGTAAGGTGTAGCTGGACCAGGGCTGGCCTGGTTGGCTGAGGCTGTCGCAGCTGCTGTGTTGCTGAAGCGGTAGCGGAAGCAGGGAACCTCGGGAGCTTTGGTTTCCTTTCCAAGGGCACCACATTGGGCTGGGTGGTGCTGGGGTGGGCAGAGCACCTGGGACTCCTGGCGTCGCCAGAAATGGATCATCCCCTTTGTCGCTGGGAGCTGAGGGTGGACGGAGCCATGGGAAATGACCCGCCAGGCCCTGCCGCGTGGCTTTCAGCAAAGGCTGAGACCCAGCGAGGGGGCATGGCGGGGGGCTGCCACTCCTGCACCTGCTCTGTCAAAGGAGGGGGCTCCAGTGGCCCCGGGCGGCAAGCGAGGTACCTTCCACTGCTGCCATTCATGCAGGGCCCGGGGTTTCCAGGCAGCAACCCCCCAGGGAAATGGAGCTTTCTGGGAGCTACGTCTTGCACTAGGAGTCAGCAGCAGAGGTGGGAGTGGATCCCAGCCCTAGCCCCTGTCCCTTGCTCCGGGGCACAGGCCCTGTGCTGCGTGGGGGAGAGGAGGAGGGATCCTGTTGCAGGGAGCTGTGGTCTGGGATGGTGTGGGGCAGTCCTGGGGCATCTCATTCCCGCAGCAGCCAGTCCTCAGGCCCTCGCTCTGCCTTGCTGGGGAATCACGCCATGCAAGCAGCCCCGGCATACGTATGTGCATGTGCACGCGCAGACCTCTGGTGCAGGCCTGTATCTCCGCACCCCTCACTCCCTGCTGCATCGACTCCCTCTTTGTTCCAGATACTAAGTGGCTAATTGGTCTTAATGAGGCATTAGCAGAGATCCTGTCCCCACTTCCCTGGGGACTTCTGTTTGGTCTGGGGGGGGAGTGGGAGAGAGATGGGCTCCAGCTGGGGGCCAGAGCCGGATTAGTGCCTGGTGGCATACATGGAAGGTGATTACGGGGGAAGGATTGGGTGTGGGATTAGAAGGGATTTAGGTCAGTGGACCACAGGGAAAATTATAGGGGGAAAAATCTCATCTGCTGGGCCAGGCAAGGAGCAGGGGCCAGGCGGGAGGGGCAGAGACCTGTCCTCTCACTGCCAGCTCAGGTGTGAGACCTTTCCAGACTTCCCCGCTTGCTAGTGCCTGCCCCCAGCCCTCCTGCTCCTGCCGATGCGGCCTCACTCCCAAAGTCTCCGATGCAATCCAGTCCAGGGGGCATCTCCCCTTCCCTCCCCACCACAGCTGCCAGACTCATGCCCTCGCTACTCTGCTCAGCGCCTCCGCCCTCGCCAGCCTGCGGGCATGTGCTTTCTGGCGCCGGGCTCTTCTGGCCACCCCTCACCCCCTGGGGTGGACCACGGAGCAGCCTGCTGCCCAACCTCGGGGCCGGGCGGCATCGGGCACTGCACCTCCCGTGGTCCCACAGCCCCGGCTGGACGTCACGGGCTCAGCTGTGCGCTGGGCGAGGGGGGGCTCGGCTCCGGGCTGTCCTGGCCGTCACCAGCAGTCACGCAGCAGCTGGCTGCCCGGTGTGCGCCCAGGCCATGGTGCGAGGCTGCAGGCAGAGAGTAGGCAGGGGCCGTGTCCGTACTCCTGCAACACAGTGACCCGGGGGAAACTGGGAGCTCTGGGGGCATTCACATGACTCCTGCATTTTGCAAGCCTGGAAAGGAGGCTGACGATGGTCACGGGGAGTGACCCGGGGGAGGCGTGTGAGGCTGCCACCTGGCCCGCATTCCCCATCACGGCACCCAGATTATGGGACAAGACAAAACCCTGCTTCCCGGGGGGGAACACCCCTGCCGCAGAGCCACACTTACCCGCTCTGAGCTGCATGGGCAGAGCACGTGATGCCGGGAGGGGACAGCTGCCGGGAACTGGGTGTGTTTCGTCTGGGGAGAGCCCAGAGCAGGTGAGAGACCTGGAAGGCTGCCCCCAAGAAGCATCATCCTCCCTGTGCCCAAGGGCAGAGCCAGAGACAGGGCAGCTGACTTCCCACGGCTCCCAGAGCCGAGGGTGCAGGGAAACCCGCGTCCCCTCTGCGACGTGCCAGGCTCTGGGGTGCTGTGCTGCGGCCCCCCAAGCCCCCGCTCCCTGGGGATCAGGGGCTGCCAGCTCCCCGGTGACATGTGGGTACGCTTGGCCGAGCTGCAGGGCTTTCTAGGAATAGCGTGGGCTCCAGCAGCTCAGCCCCCGGTGCCACATCCTCCCTTCCTGAGAAGCCTGGGAGCCACTTCGCTGAACTGAGCCTATGTCGCCACCCCGCTTCCCTGCGCCAACCCAGCTGGGCGCCTGCTGTCATGGGCAGCAGCTGTTTCGAACTCACGCCCTTTCTCTCCAGGGTTCCTGGCATCACCCCCTCGCCCACGTCCTCCCATCCTCTGAATTATCCCCTGGCCTCTGAGAACGGCTCTCCACAGAGGATGTGACTCACGGGGCTGCTCGGGGCTTGGAGGCTGTTTCTTGTCAGGCTCTGCTGAGAAGGCAGGAGCCCAAAGCCAACGTTTCCCTAGCACGGACCCGATGATGACTTCGTCCTTCCTCCCTGCCAGCCGTGGGAGCTGGCAAACCACGCCATGGGGCGTGAACCAAACCGCCTGGCCCACATCAGCCCCCCTGGTTCACCGGGGCCACCGGGGCCACCTGACCGCTGGCTCTGAGGCCAGAAACGTCAAGTGGGGGCCCCGTGTCTGAGCGTGAAGTCCCGCGGGGGGGACCTGGTGTCCACACAAAGCCGTCGGAGGTGGCAGCTGGTTGAGAATCGGGCTCCTATCTGCTCCCCCTGCTTGAAGCCACAAAGCAGGGCCTGGGCATGGGAGATGAGTCCAGGGCAGACCCGGCTGGCGGCACTGTCGAGGCAGGGAAGGGGCTCCTGAGAGGCAGGGAAGGGTGCAGCGTGCCCAGGAGAGTGGCACAGAGCCCCCCGGCTCTGGTCGGTACTTATTAGCGAGCACCCAGCTCTCTCCTCCTCTTCCTCCGTGCTGTGGTGAGCGCAGAGGTGGTTGTGCTTCGCCTCTCCAAATTTAGCAAGGGCCCCGAACGACAGAGGCTTCCTGTCAATGAACTCGGTTCCAGCGTCGCCGCTGAATCATAGCAGTTGCGAGGCGCCCCAGCCAGAGACCGGAGCCGCTGCCCCAGCCAGGTAGGCAACGCTGCCGGGGGGAGACTTCTCCTTTTGGTCCCCTCCTTCCAGGCCAGGGTAGGGGGCAAAGGAAGAGGGGGCAAATCTCACTTACTTTTCTCTCTGCCTGTTTTGCTTTTCTCTTTGCCTCTGTCTGCCTTTCAAGCTCCCCTGCAAGCATCTGCCTGGTGGCCCGATGGGCTGGGGATGTCCACACTTGATACCGGTTGGTCCGGACACAACCTCTGGGTCTGCTCCCAAAGCCCCGGGGTGGCTCAGACCCGGGCTTCCCAACTGGGCTGTTATCAAGAGGAGGATCAGTGGCAGCGTGCCAGTCTGGGATGGCACTGTCCCCCAGCGCGGCTCAGCTCCATTTCTCTCCAAAAACAAAACAATCCCCCCACCGCCCCCACACACACACAAAAAGAAAAAAAATCCCTTTTTTTTAAATAGAAACCAGTGAAGGTTTCTAAGTGACAGCTTGAGGAT